TGCCTGGACATTTCATGACATTGGTCCATGGAAGCAGACAGTTTTCCGAACCCAGTTGTCTTTTGCTGCATATTAGGCTCATTTATACTTGTTCTTTCCCATGTAGATTTGGCAGATAACTGGTTACCATCTTCTTCAACACCATGCCTCCAAAATCTTTGTCCATGTCTACCCACTCTTCTTTTTTTTTTTAGGACAGACAAACCAAATTCTTCAGCTTGACCTCCCAACCATGTTTTCCAGTCCTCTAGTCATTCTTGTTATGTTCTTCCAGACTACTTCCAATTTCTGGCACAGTATAAGCTGGGTGGTGAGGATGCACAGAAAAAGAGGTTTCTGAAGGCCAAACAAATGCTCGGGCTGTTTAGATTAAGCTGTAAATAATCATGAAAACCAGTGCCATTCACTTGGTGAAATCAGCCTTCTAGCACTCTTCCTACATGCAGATCATGGGCTTTGGTTTTGCAGAAGCATAAGGGCAGACATGTGTACGTCACTCTTCCAACCTGAAAAAACGCAGGTCTCTTGTCCCCCTGATCATCATCCAGACAAGCAGCTGCATTTACAGCTGTGGCTGCAATTATAAAGGATGTTGAAGCCACCAGATTTGAGAGAACAGACTCTCTGCACACCTTCAGTCTGCCTCTGCCCCAGTTTCCAGTAACAGCCCATATCAGGTCAGTGCAGAAATCTCTTCTGCACCTGGGAGATGCTGTGCAGGTGTGCTCCTCTATGCCATTGCTCTGACCATAATCCCCACTGGTCTCCACCTTTTACACTCCTGGTAATAGTGATGCTGCCCTAGAGGAACAAGGCAATGGTATGCCAGTGCATAGCTGCTGCATGGCCACTTCTGACAAGAGGCAACAATGAAAAGTGTAGAGAAAATTTAGCGCAGGGAAAATTTATCTGTATGGAGTTGCTATTATCAAAGTTGGAATTTGGTCAAAATACTTCCATGTGTGCTGAGAACCTTATGCAAACTTTAACAGCCCAAAGAAATTAAGATATTGTAGTTTGTATTGCAGTTGGAAGACTGCAGCACAGTAGGACACTGGCCATGGACTGATCAGAGCCTTCAAAGATTGGGTTTGGACATCAAAGCACTAAAGCATGCCAGTTGACTTTAAATACATGAATATACAACAGAACAGCTAACATGGCTTCACTAAGGGCAAATCATGCCTGAAAAATTTAGTGGTCTCCTTCAATAGGGTTGCAGCATTGGTGGATAAGGGAAGAACAACTGATGTCATCTACTTGGACTTGTGCAAAGCATCTGATATTGCCCCGCACAACACCCTTGTCTCTAAAATGGAAAGACATGGATTTGACAGGTGGGACACTCAGTAGATAAGTAATTGGCTGGCTCGTTGTACTCAGGGAGCTGTGGTCAATGGCTTGATGTCCAGGTGGTGTCCACAGTGATAAATGGTATCCCTCAGGGGTCTGTACTGGGACCAGTATTATTTAACATCTCCATTGTCAACATGGACAGTGAGATTGAGTGCACCCTCAGCAAGTTTGTGGATGACGAGTGACATGGTTGATACTCTAGAGGGAAGGGATGCCATCCAAAGGGGTCTGGACAGGCTTGAAAAGTGGGCTCGTATGAACCTCATGAAGTTCAACAAGTCCAAGTGTAAGGTCCTGCACCTGGGGTGGGCAATCCCAAGCACAAATACAGGCTGGGCAATGAGTGGACTGAGGGCAGTCCTGTGGAGAAGGACTTGGGGGAACTAGTGGACGGACAACTGAGTATGAGCCAGTGATGTGTGCTCACAGCCCAGAAAGCCAACTGTATCCTGGGCGGCAACAAGAGAAGTGTAGCCAGCAGGTTGAAGGAAGTGATTCTCCCCCTTTATTCCACTCTCATGAGACCCCATCTGCAGTGCTGTGCTCAACTCTTGGGCCCGCAGCATAAGAAAGACATGGACCTGCTTGAGCGGGTCCAGAGGAGGCCACAAAGATTATCAGGGGTCTGGAGCACCTCCACTAAGAGGACGGGCTGAGAGAGTTGGGGTTGTTCAGCCTGGAGAAAAGAAGGGTCCGGGGAGACCTTAGAGCGGTCTTCCAGTAGCGAGAGGGGGACCTACAGGGAAGATGGGGAGGGACTCTACCGGGTGTGAACAGTGTGGTGATAGGATGAGGGGTAATGGTTTTAAACTGAAAGAGGATAGATTTAGGTTAGATGTAAGAAAGAAATTCTTTACTGTGAGGGTGGTGAGACACTCAAAGAGGTTGCCTGGAGAAGTTGTGGATACCCCCTCCCTGGCAGTGTTCAAGGCCAGGTTGGATGGGGCTTTGAGCAACCTGGTCTAGTGGAAGGTGCCCCTGCCCATGGCAGGGGGCTGGAACTGGATGATCTTTAAGGTCACTTCCAACCCAACCCATTCTATGATTCTCTGACTTAAAAATAGTAGGTGACGGATGTGCTTATATTTGAAATCATAAAAGAGTCATTTATTCAGCTGTTGAGACTACGTGATTGCTGCAGCTTCTTCAGCCTCCTGTTCATGCAGTAGTTGTAACTGCACTGCTGTAGCAGAGATGGTGCAGTGCAGGCAGCATGGGAATCGTAATAATGAAACAAGGGATGGTCTAAGGAAGAGCACGGGATTTTTGGTGCAGGCCAGAAGATGTGAAGAGGAGTCATGAGTGGGAAAAAGGAAAGTGAAGAGAAAAATTCTGATCCAGTTGCTTGCTAGCTAAGCACATTCCCTCCTGTGCAATAAAAACCATAGAGGGATTTTGGAAGTAAAGAGGCCATGAGAATATAATTATACATTAAATCATGAAGCAAGAAAACTGCATTGAAACAACACTGTTAGCATCATGCAGTTAAGCATTCAACAGCTGGAAATTCTGATAAATGTTCAGGCAACTGTAGTTCTTATATTTCTGCAACACTTGGGAGCCTCACTACAATGTTAACAACATACTGTTCATGTTGATTTTTGTGTGTGATACATCAACGTGCTCAGCCACGTTTTGGTTACTACTTTCCATTCTGAAGATCTAGGGCTGGGGACCTACTTCTCTTCTTTATTAATACTAGTGCAAATTCCAAGTAACTGCATTGAACTCAAAGAGGCACCATCATTAAAAAAAGACAGGTGCAAACATCAGTGAAATGGTATCCTATTCTTACATAATCAACAGAAATTTATAGTGGTGAGTAGCTAGTGAAAAAATACCACTGTGAAAGCCTGAAGTGAAGACTGCTATCTTCACTTTGCAGAAAATTATTTTTTACTCTAAATGAGCCTTGTAGATTCCAAAATATGCTTTGTAAAATCATTGCTAATTGTCAGATGATTGTCACTCCAACTGAAGTCAGTAAAAAATTGTGCCACTGCAGCTGTCAAGAGTTATGGATTTTAAAGCTATAGACTATTTTTAACAGCATGTAAAAGAATATAAAACATGTAATTATTCAAATGAGAAATGCACAATCTGAAGTGTGCAGTGTTTTGAAAATAAGCAAGCATCCTGACACCTGTAACATTGCTTCAATTTGGCTCGCACTATGATTATGCCAACTATTAGTGCAGCTGTCACCCAAAATGTGGAATATAAGCAGGGGGTAAATGCTTCATTTAGGTGAGCAAACATACCCGAGCTTCTAAATGAATGACAATAGAAAGATCTTCCTTGACTAACTGCTGGGGTGTCACACATACAGTTTGGCAGGAGTATGGTGCCTTGAAAGAGGATTTCTCAGTTTGGGGTCATGTTGTTCCTCTGATGTCTGACATAAACATTTTAATTTCTCCGCCGGGTGCAGAGTTAGGGCATGTGTATATTCGTGTAAACTTCTGTACCAAAACCCATGTTATTATTTATTTACTAACACTGGCCTATGAGCATCTGGGGTCAGATCATTAGCTGATGGTGGTTAGCATGAAGTCACTGAAGACATGGCAACATCACAGTTCAGACTCCTGCCATTGTATTTGTAGGCTGCTCTTTAAAGCTTTCAAACCCAGGCACACTGTCTGTGTCCATATCCACATGACAAAAATTCCTCCTTTCAAAGCAAAACAAATAAAAACTAAGGTGAACAAGATGACATGACTCATTAGTTAAAATCCCCCAAGAAAACACATTCTTTACCTAAATCAGTTGTGGCAGCTATTAATAATCCTGCCAGCTGTTACAGGAGACCTCTTCAGGTGTACTGAGATCTCAACTTGAAGGTCTCCTGACAATGCATCCACTGCAGCATTTTAAAAATCAGCCTTAAACTCAGTTAAGACTTCTTAATCTTTATTTGTAATGACTAAAGTGATTTATCTTGGCTTCAACAGTTCATTAGTTTTATCAGTGAATACTGGGAATTGGAATATTACCATAGCCAGGTGTCAGCAGTGCCTGGGGGAAATACTTTCCTGAATGCAGGTCCCAGGACAGCGAGGAAACGGGTGAGGCTCACATCATGTTTTGTAGACAGTTTAAATATTTTTGCGATGCTTTACCGTCCCTTAAATAACTCCAAATATACAGCCTTGGAAGAACCAGCTAACCTTGTTTTTTGCAGAAGGTCTGAGGAAGAACAAGCAGTGGCTACCCAAAGTGAGAATGATTACAAGCTTAAAACCACATTAAGTTTTCACTCAACTGAACGAGGGGCATGGCTGGGCAGCCCGCGGCAAGTCTGGGCAGCCGCCGCAGGGTCACGGCGGGAGGCAGCCGGGGAGGCGGAGGAGGAGGAGACAGAATTTTAAGCTCAAACGCGACGCGGGGATCCCGGTTCG